CTGCTTTCCCTGCCCACACGCCACAGCACAAATATGAAGCTTGAAAGTCTAAAAGATTCAAACTTATTTTTCAAAGAATAATGCCATGACAATGATTTTAACTTATTACAAATGCCAAGATTTGTTGGAGTTCAGCATTGTATGTCTAAATTACCCCATCCTTGGGCAGCTGGTGAAATGCACACACACAAACCCTCTTTTAATACTATTCACTTAAAAAAAAAAAAAAAGGAAAAAGAAAAAGAAAGGAAAGGAAGAAAATCTCTTGATGCTGCACAGAAAAAGGCAAATACAGAGTGGTCCAGGTCAAGCAGAAATGTTCAAGACTAAACCCTGAGCTGCACGCGAAACCCTGGAAATAATTTACATTTAAATGACTCTTCATGGATCAAGTCAGCAGCAATGACGTTGAGAGAAGTGCTGTGCAATTGTTTGAAACTTATAAAGATGCATTAACTGCAGGAGGTCTGATGGCTAGAAAATTTAATATAACAAATATATCAAAACCCATCCAGCTAGGCAAAGTTATAGAGAGTCCTTTAATTAGTTTCTAGGGGACTTGGATTAAGCTCCAAGTTGGTAATGAAAAACACTGTTCAAAAGAACAACTGAAATAAGAGTTCTCCAGGTCTATTAGGGATAATCCATTAAAGCAAAATGCACTTGATCAGCATGGCAAGCCAAATACCGCTCTTTTTACCACGGGCCATTGGTACTAATAGATTCTTTTCCCTGGGTTCATGTTAGGAGATGCCTCCCGCCCCCCTCCAGCAATCCTCACATCAGCAGAGAGCTTCATGCTTTGCCCTCTCCTTTTTCTGCTCAAGTGAGTGTTGGTCTTGTACCCGACAGAAGAGCAAGTTCTGGCCTTTTTTCTGGTTTACTTGGAAAAGATGGAAGCATAAGAAGAACTACAAAAAGCAGATGCTAATCATACTGCTTAATCCTGACATTCTGGCAATAAAATTCTAGAAAGACAAGTACGTGCAATTTGCTCAATATAGTACAATAGGTACAGTCCCATAAATCAGCTTGATAATCCTGTCTCTCTCACTCAGCATGTTGCTAAAGGAAGACTATTCTCAATTAATTGACATAATCTAAGGTGAAGATAGCCTAAAGATTTCCGTGGGTCATGTAAGACCGTGGCAGCCACAGGTACCTGATTGCGCAGGTGGCGATTGCCACGCTGCAGCCCCCGCGTTGCCGCAGGTTATTGTTCTCCATGAAGCACGGACGGACACGGCCCAGGAAGCAACACGGGGGTCAAGCCAGTGGGGAGGTGCAGGAGCAGGACAGAGAGAAAAGCAAGGGGAGAATCAAGCCATTGAGCACAGTTCTCAGAGGTAAGAAAAAGCCACGTCTAGCTGGGACACCCGACCCTTCAATGCGGAGCAGAAATACGTCATGTTATATAACAAGGTCATCTCTCCAGAAGTTACTCAGGGAGAACTGTCATTTGGGTGGCAGCAGATCTCCCCCCGGGACATGCTGAGGGGCCCGGGGGTGCCACGGGGAAGGACTCGCAGGGCCCTGGCCTGGCGGAGCGCGAGGCGGCCGGCAGCGCGGCCTGGCTGCCCCACACGGCCCCACGGGGGCCAGGCCACCTGCAGCGACTGTCACTGCGGGCCTGGCACGCAGCAGTGCCTACAAGGAACACGGATGGGGAGGGAGAAGGACAGGGAAAATACAAAATGCCCAGCAGTAGCATCAGTCAAAATAATTAAACACGAGTCTTAAAGCAGAAGTTTAAAGGAAGCCTGAAATGCAAATACAAAACACTTGTATGGTCTGAAAATTTGGATTTTTTTTCCCCCCAAAAAAGGAATGGGGGAGAATCTTGTGGGTTGCCAAGTGTACTAAAGCACACATCAAATAGCACAGCACCAGGAAAGTGCAGGCAGCAGTATAGAGTGTGGGATAGGTTGGACCTTCCTCCTAGCTTGTGCAGGCGGAAGTCCTCTACCTGCTCTGTCCTCCCTCCACAAGTGATGCAGGGTGGCAGCTGGTGCTTCAGGCCGACGCTACACATGGCCAGCATCACCCTCATCCTCTTTGCAAACAACCAAGCGTTTACAACAGAAATGCCGAGAATCAGCCTTCGGCAAAGAACCCCCAGGCTGCAAGTGCGTATTGCTTAGGACCGCGTTCGACGTAGCATCTTGCAAAAGTACTTAGAGAAATAAGGCCTGTAGGAATTAACAGAAGAAAATTACACTGTAGGATTATAATCAGGGATTAATCATGCCACACTACCAAGCATGGCTTCTCGGAAGCAGAGAAAACCCAGAGTAACAGCAACGAATGCCACAGCACAAGCAGCTCACCCCGTCACAGTCAAGAGATACCGTGCTCCCTCTGGCCAAAGGAAATGCACAGTATTCCTAGGAAGGGAGCGCGGCCACCTCCGCAGCACTTCTCTTACACAGACAGGCACACATGGAACAAACCCATCTTAAATCATGAGAGAGCACGTCTGGACTCCTGTCTGCCTCCAGGGAAGGGAGGCCCCTCAATCTGCTTCCTCACCAGTAGCTTTACCTGTTTGCCTTCCTTTTCTTAGTCTCTCTCTGCTCTGACCTTGCAAAATAAGATAAAATCAATAGAAAATAACTACTACCCAAACACCTTTCTCTTCCCAAAACAAACTGCTGCTCTCTAGTGGAGGTTGATTATTTCATCTAGTTATGTTAGAATGAAAGTCAAAAATATGCCACTTCCTAACTTACAGGAAACCTTAATTCATTTTCACAAGCACTGACACACTAGCATAGCAGGACTGGATTATTTTTTTTTTCTGTCTTTCATATTGTCCTTTAGATTTTGGTATTTATTTCTCAAGATGTATTTGCTCTGCAACTTTATCATTACTGTAATGACACCTCATTAACTTCCCAAATATTTGTGTGTTAAAATACTTGTACATTTCTTAATTCATCCTTTTTAGTTGTTCTGTTTAGACAATATGACGCTACAGATTTTTTTCCCCGTAATTGTCTTTCCACATGGTTAATTACTGACAGAGTTTACTAGGCAAAGTATAGATTTAGCTGCTTTGAAAATATAGTATTTATCAGTCATAGTCACAGGAGAGTTTAGGCACTTACGTTGATACAGTGAAAATCTGTATGCTCTTTACTAAGGGTTTCTAAAGACATTTCGGTGTTCAAGTACTAGGATTCAGAACTCGCTACAGAAATTGTGGCATTATGCATGACAAAGGCACAGCTCCTTATGTCTATGCTGCAATGATGCCAAATAGCCGAGTATCACAAGGAGCATCTGCCCTGGAAGAACCAAATTATAAGAGTTGGTATTGAATTTCAATTAGCACATGAATTTGTGAAGAGGGAAGAATAATTAAACTTGCTCTAAAAGTGGTTTAAAAATGTAATAAAACTGTAAACGTAACTGTAATGAAAGAGCCAAAAGTTTCAGTTGACTATTGAAACTGACCCTTAAAAGAGTGCTTATGAGCAAAATCCAGTTGCTAGCTTTAACTGTACATACAAAATACTTAATCATTGCAAATGCGAAGTTTTGTTATAAACAGTCAATTTTTAGGTAAAACGCTTATGAAGTACATTACTTGCTCAGAGGAAGAGATGGCATTTGTACTTACTTGACTAAGCTAGATAGATTTTATATTAAATATTAATTTAGGTTCAGTCAGCCATTTCCTGGAGCTCTCCATACAAATGCACAAGATGCTTCTGTGGGTATTTTCCAATATACACTGCACATTCAGTACCAGGTTGATGAACACACACATCTCAAAATAAATCAAGCTATCGTACAAGAATTTTATGGCTACTCAGATGTTACAGAAATATGTTTTTATTAGAAATGTTTACTGTTCAACTTGACCTACATCTGTATTAAATATTACAACTTTACACAGTACACAAGTCCCATGACACCAATGCCAGGAAATTCTCCCCAATTTCTAAAATTTAGATAGCAAAAGTCCAAGGAAATCAACAAGTTTCGGAGTTATTTTCCCAACAATCTGCAATTTTTACAGCACTATTTGCTGTAAGCACTGCTTTCAGATCCGCCAGCTAGTAAACCGGAGCATTGACGCTGGACACCCCCCCGCCACACACACAGCTCCAAGGGCAGCACTTCCTTTCCTAGAAGAGCAGGTTCCAACATGCACTTCACTCTTGGCTTTATCTCTGCTGCACAAAGACCTTCTGAAGCACCAGCGTTCAGTAGCCTAGATACCGATCTCCATGGAAAAGTGGACTTGAAACAGGATTTTTTCCAGTCAAAGAATACCAAGAAAACCTTACACTTTCACCTATTCTTAAACTGGCACCTGGCCCACTGCAATTAGCATTCAAAACAGTAGATGTATTTTGACTTAAGAAAATATGTATTATCTTAAAGTTACTTACTTTTCTGGTTCATGCAAAGTACCTTAACAAGGTACACCTATGATTTAAGAACCTCTTAGTATCCTCCAACTTTAACAGCCTTATTTGGTCATAATCTAGTTTTACTGACACTCACCGTAGTGCCAATATAAGGTAGACACTTCTCACTTATAAAAACCCCATCTCTGATGTTGCAATATCAATATTGTATTTTCTTCCTAAATCACTGAAAAGCACATTTCCATTTGAAAGCTTTACTTGTGATCATGAGGAAACAAACAGTTTCTACAAAAACTAGCACCCACTACCCTGGGAAATAACTTACATAAAGTGACCAAGTTTTTATTCTTCTCAAGGCATATTGTTGATTTATTATTTGTAGCATGGAGAACTCTAGCACAAAACCTTTTATTATTTACTTATTTATTTTTAAATCAGTCGCAATCCACGCAATCCTCTCTGGTGCGGAGAAGCCTCTTTCATATCTCTAAAAACAGGTGGTCAGCAACGGGGTAGTTCTCACATTATTTCCTTTACAATTCACTTACTTTGGGAGACACAGAACTGAAAATATACATTCCTTAATATAAATTATATGTCTTCTTGCTGTTCCTTGCTTTGCCCTCTGTTTTACCCCAGTGCTATGTAACTATGGGAATATGAAACTCGTTATTATCAAATATCAGAGGCCTCCTAGGAGGGGCTGATTCTTTGTCTGCTTTGTGCAGCAGCTTAAAAAGTCCCGTTCCAATATTCATTGGGATTCCCATGATGATGCACTCGGAAACACCTAGTGGAAAAAATAAATAAATTGAAGCATCTGAAGAGTAACATTTTCAAAATATTTTTTCATTCACTATGCTGTATGCATTGATTTCTGAAATCTTCTGGAACATCACACGTACAGACCAACATCTCTATGATGTTATGGTCATCAGAACAGCAGATCACTATGTCACACAATTCTTGTTATAGAAATTCTAAATAATTAGAGAGAAACAACGTAAACATCTTTTCTACCAATGAAAGAATATCGTGGTGTATGTCTTCAGAGAAAATGAATTCCACCTATTATCAATTATAGAAGTTGCAAGGCAAAGTTAATTCATGTTCCTTCATTGCTCAAAGACTTTAGTCAAATCCAGCCAAATTTCCTTGAAATTCCTGCAATTTATCCATGAAGAAGGAATATTTACTACAGTTTGACTAATTTGAGATTGAAAAAAATTTTTTCAATCAAAAAACCTTTGCAGTGGAAAGAGAACTACAGCAAATAATTCAAGAATGGGACAAATTTCCTGGCATTTCACCTATTTAAGAGGTGAGAGGAAAAAAACATAAATTGGTCAAAGTCTGCCTTAAGAAACCTAAGACACTTGCTCATCTGACTTCAAGATTTCCCATTGCCAGTTGAAGGCAATACTTAGAGGAACATCTCATAAATTTCTAGGATCAAGACGACACTGACCGGTCTCAGTCTTTACATTTTTGACACCCAAGTTGAACAGAAACCTTGAAAAAATGCTGAAAAAGGACCACAGACTGTGACGAAATTTGCAGTACTTACCACAAACAGAATCCTTCTGTCCAAAGTAGGCGGCATCAAAGAGATGATCTGCAGTCTTTTCAAAAGAAGCCAGCATCAACACGCTTTCCTTCATTTTTGCCAGTCCAAATCTCGTGATGCCCAGCACTTCACCCTTCATTGGTGGGGAAACGCAGAGAAAGACTGTCGTTATAATGCCTGGAAGTCAGTTCCACTTACTAAAGAAAGCAATTAAAACAGTAACAAAAACACTGTATTTACTCTAACAAAGTTATGATAAAAGAACAGTACATAAAAAGTTGCTATCTACCATATAGTATGGAATATAAAATATGCTGCTTCAGAATTAAACATCTTGAAGGTGAATATTTTGATGGTCCTCGATGCTTATGTAGAACAGAAGCAATTATTTGTAAACTACAGAACCCATTACGAACTGTTAAAGAAATTCTTTTTTTTGAAACAAAAATATTGGAACCAATGAAGGACACAGACACAGGAGCAAACACACATTCATGTATTAGTTGCTGAGCTACAGACTTATAGGGTGTCTCAAGAACAGAACTACAAAAACACTTCACTACAGCTACTGCTTTTGCCTTGATGAAGATCTGGTCCATTTGTGCTTCTGCCACTACCAAACATCCTGATTGTAAAAGGCCATACAGCTTTTGAGGTACAAATCAGAAGCACAAACAAGAGATAAAGTACCAAAACCCCAATGAGTATAAAGCCCTACACTGTGCTGCCCCTGTCCACCGCAGTGCAGCAGCTCAGCACAACCAGCCCGAGGGGCTGCTGTAGTTAGAGAAACCTCATTTCCTCCATTGGTTTTGTCCAAATTAAACCCTTGCTCTCTGGCAAGGCAAAAGCAGAAAAACTGACTTGACTAGGCAACATGTATTAAATTAAGTATTCAAATACAGCTAACAGATCAGTTGCTAGGGCAAGCATCCATCAATAAAGAGCAGATATCACCTTGTAAGAGCAAGTCCTGGAAGGCTGTTCCTACTCGACTTGCCACCTGGTCCTGTCTGCAAAGCCTGGATCCTTTGACTCTTGTACACAGTGCAGCTGCTACGAGCTACAGCCCAGCTGGTTCCCTGCATCCCAAGCCTTAAGCTGCATGTGTGGCTACCCCACACTTGACTTGATCCTATCATCTTTAGGCTTCACGTTTTCATGGTGAAATTATGATGCTCTACTCCTTACATCATTTTTTTTCCTATCAAAGTAGACCTTTTATCTTTCCCCACCAAGAACTGGATTAGTGAACCGTTTTGTTTGATGTATAAGCAATAGTATTAGATGGCACAACATTGCTGTCAAACTATCTCTGAACCCAAGTTCTATCAACCTATAACTGCTTTCCATCTTCCTAGCTGATCCCTATTCTTCCCAAACATGGTAATATGATTTGAGTAGATTGGTACAAACCTTGTATGTCATTAGATCAGAGAGCAGCATAACATGTCTCCTATCGATGCTCATACCATGGTTCACCATTGTATATTGAATCTCATTGATAATGGTGGTCCGAGCAGCTTCAATTCCTAAGGTCTTCTCTACCTAGAAAAACAAGATTTTGTTGGATTAACGACTAACCACATGTGTGAAGTCAGTAAGTTTCTGAGCACATGTCTGTCATCAGAAGAACACAGCTTCTACTGCAACCATTTTGTATTCCTCCATTTAAAAACCTTTTCGGAACAGTGCTGCCAGCAGAATTATTCTCTTGTATCAATACATTCTGACCACTATTAGTGAAATGAGGTATGATTGGCTATAAATTGTTACATATGAACACAAACAAACACTTATAATAAACACAGAACGAGGAGAGAAAAAAAACCCACAGTCCCGATTTGAGCATTACCTCATAAGTGTTGTTAGAGGTTGTCTTGGTTCCTTTCACTCCATGAGTAGCCATAACTGCTCTCAAGTTATCACCTTCAACTAGAAGTTTGTATTTCTCCTTACCACTTTGTTCATCAATATGAATGACAGCTCGAGAAACCTCTGGTATACCTTGTACAACCACCTTGACAAAACAGAAGCCCGATGGAGTTTGATTTGTACAGCAATGCAGTATATAGAATATAAGGTACATTCTATCAGCATTCAAACTTATTTAAAAGCTCCAATCTCAACGTGATGCATTAAAATAAACACAAAACTAGGTGTTGCGTTCTTAAATACATTAGTGTACATGTGACATTCACTTTACACCATTAGCCTTACTCACTACCTGAATTTTACATCAAAATCCTCAAATTCAGATCAGGCTATCTGAATGGTGCATCCACACAACTAAAAGGGCACCCTGTCAATAATAAGGTCCCCTGAGTGTCATTTTTAAAATCCAAAGTAAACCATCTTCTCACACCAACCACAAAATAGGCCAGATGCTGTGATGGGGTCCACCAAATCATCGTTCTGGACTCAGACTACCTTCACTGTAAATACTGACAAAACAAACCACTCCATCTCCCATTGCAGAGCCCAAATTATTACTAATGATTATCTCCCAAAACACGAGACAAGACTGGGCTTTTACCTTAGGCAGCTCTTCCTTAAGGGACTGCAAAACATAATACATGGAACTCTTGCTATTTTCCCGAGGGGTCACACATACAACTGCCTCTCCATGGACAGCAACATCTCCAGGTTTCACTCGGAGTTTGGATATGCAAATCGAGTAGCGCACAGTCTCTGCATTCACCTGGGGCAAAAAGAAACAGCAGTCAAACACTAGTATATAACTTAAAACTTTTAAATCTGCTCAAAAAGATGTAGCAGTCAGATTTTTGGTCTGAATCAAAAAGTGGAATGTAGAAAAATAAACAAAGGGAACAGCGAATAACAGCGAATTATTTCACAACAGTGAAATACTGTCAAGTGTTGAGGGCCTGCACCTTCCTTATATTTAGCAAGACACTAAGAAGTAAGTCTGCTAAACAGAGCAAAAACTGTCCATTTCAGAAAAGAAAAAAAAAAAAAAAAAAGACTAGGTGCAATGTAGCACAGCATATGCTTCATTCACTTTCTCCTTCTCACTTCTGATGGTCTGATTTCTGCTTCTGAAAAAGAAACAAAAGATCCTTTGGAATTTTCCCAAAGCACATCATGAACATAGTCTGAAAAACTCACCTCTAATCTCAACAGTCTAATGCGTTCCAACGAGAGCTTGACCAGAATGAAACAATCGTCAGGAAGAAACACTTCTTCAATATATTCAGAAATCTTCAAGAGAAAATAATGAAATAGTTAGCATGAGAAAATAGCTCAAATGTCCTAGAACAACAGTCTAAAAGATTAATTATGACATTTAAGGCATTATAACACATTTTTTCCTACCTCTCCTAATAAGGTTTTCTCAATTCTTCCTTTAACTAGACGGGCAAAATCAGGATCATCATCTTTGTCCAACTGTGCTGTTATAATAGGTGTGCTACAGAGAATAATCACACATGGAAAAATAACAGAGTTATGAAGATGACCATTTGTATGACAGCCAGACTTAGGAAATCTATCACATAATCTAAGATAATATTAACGAAGATAGGAAGACATTTGTTCTCCTCAGTACATTTAAGAACGTTATTCTTCAGCTACCTCAGGTTGCTAAAAATAAGCAAACACACAAGAAATTACTATGATAAAACACCGGATAATTTTGGTGGCTTGCACTACTCTAGTATTACTTAAGCATGGCTTTCAGGAAGCCCTGGAACAGGCATGTTTCAACTATCACTAGACTCCAGAAAACCTTACAAGACATGGGATACCTAATGGAACATTAAGTTTCAGGGGACAATATTGCTTTTCAGTCAGTAATGGGTTTAACTCATTTGATTTTCAAAAATAATAAAATTTGAAATACTGTTTTCTAGCTCTAATTCATCAATTCCTGGGACAGACAATATATTTTTCTTGTTCAGGTATGTAACAGAGTCAATGCAATGTACTGATATCAGTACATATATACTGATATACTGATATATATTGTATGATATCATATATACTGATCATATATATATATTGGTATATACATATTGCCATGTGTATATACTAAATATTCCATTTCCATATATATACACACACTATATATATTCAATTTCAATTCGATATATGATTCAGTATTCATATTGACAGTTTATCACTCTGGCTTCACTAAAGCAAATAACAAGATATCATTAGTACCTAATTGCCTTTGAAGCATTAATGATTTCTTTGATCCTTGGCACCCCCAAGGTAATATTCATTGAAGCAACACCAGCAAAATGAAAAGTCTTCAGAGTCATTTGTGTGCCAGGCTCTCCAATACTTTGTGCACAAAGAGCTCCTACTGCAGAACCAGGCTCCATCTGGGCCCTGAAAAGAAAATCCTTGTATCAAACACACGAAGAGACATGAAACTCAACAAGGCATAAAATCCTAATCAAGCAAAGATAAAAAACTCTCCTGTACATATGAGTTTGGTAACTTTTTCAACTTTTTCTTTTCTTTTTTTTTTTTTTTTCTTTTTTTTAAAAAACCCAAACACACAACATCAGAGAGTCAAAGGTCACTGGTACTCAAGACACTTATCTTATGCAAGGCGAGAGGATGCCCTAGTAAAATATCCATAAACAGCAAATAAAAAATGTACTTCCCTCCTCCTAAAAGTAAAGCAGAAAATTCAAAATTCTCCAATCAGGAAATGGAATATTCTGAATACTCTGAATTGAATACTCTGATGTTTTCACAACTCCCATTTAAATGTTTAGGAGAGGAGAGCTTCAGTCTTTTAAGTTATTGTGAACATAACTCTTTAAATGAGATCAAAATCCAGAAATTAATGTTTTACTGTTTTTAGTTTATTGAAAAGCCTAAATTGATGGCCTACTTTTCTTCTAACTCTGCACATAAGGGGACCATTTCTTATCTGACCCTTTACAAAACCTACAGGCTTTGAAAATTGATTGTCCTCATAGTAGAGGAAATAAAGACCATCTCGCTAAGTAGTCTGAAAAGGAGACTGAAAAGGAAATTTACATCTTCCCCTAAAATTCTGTTCAGATTCTGGAATTAGTATTCTCCAACTTGCAAAGAGTGCAAAATGATCATCTTTTCTAGAGCAAGCAACTTCAAGAACTTACAGGACAATACCACTTCCTAAATCAATCTAATTTGTAGCATCATCTTGCATTTTCCTTCATGAGCTCTTACCAAGTAAAAATGCTATCTAATAGTGTTTAGCTTGTAACATCTGATGAAATTGCGTGGCTGCAAAACAAAATCATTGGAGGTTATTGTTTTCACTGTTATTTGGAGATCTCTTGTCACTCATTCATGCTCTATCTACCCCCAAATTGCAGCTATCCCAGAGACTTCGGTTCCTGATAAAATAACAGAAGCCTATAAAGCAGAAGCATGCATCACAACAAGAACATCCTTTCCTAATATAGCACATTTCAGCTAGCAGACCAGCATCAGCCACCATACACCAGCATAATGTAACACACTAAAATAATATGCGACTAAAAATAGCCCACATTTAAGAGAAGCATACACTAGTAATGCTAGCACCTGAAAACAAAAGCAGATAATCACTTTAAAGTATGTAGGTAAGGAATTTCATATATACATGAAGTTTCTAGAAAAGGAAACCACATTAGCAAGGAATTGATGCAATAAGACAGTGACCAGCAGCAAGCTGTACGCCCAGGAACAAACCCCAGGACACTCGGGACTTTTGCTAAGTCAGTGAAACAACTTTCAAGGGTTAGTGTAGAGGTGAGGCTACTCATGCTAACGCTGTCTTGTTAAAGATCAGCAAAAATGGAAATAACCCTCCCAGAAGTGAGTAATAGATTCAAGAACATGAACATCAAAGTGTAACATAAGTCTTGATAGATTGTGTAGCTCAAGATGAACCATCAAGTTTGTTCTCTTCCAGCTCAGAAATTATTTTACATAGACTCTGGCTGTTGGAACAATGTGCTGCAAGGAGGGTCTTGCAAGTAACAAGTCTATACGGATGTTTCCAAGTGTTAGTGTTTAAACAATATCCTCAGACATTTTGAATTCCAGCACCTTTGTTTTCCACCTCAATCTACTGTCCAAGTGCAGTCTGAGGGTTCAAGCAACTAAGGAGTAATGACAGCAGAAAACTGTGCTCCCAGGTATGACTAGTGCCATTTCAGAGGACAAGTGCCTCAGCACAAGCAGATTACTTGTCATGCTCAAGTCTCCTGAATCATGGATTTAAAAAAAAAAAAAAATTTTTTTTTTTTTTTTTTTTTTTTTTACCCTAAAACATAAAAGGAACCCAACCAGATTTGTAACAAGTCATCTAATGAAAACATCTGATTAGGACTCGAGACAAAGGTGAAAATCCTGGCTCTGTCAAACCCTAAAAACTCTCACACCACACTTAGCTCTGTGTCGTTCCCACCTGCAAATGGCAACTTTTTTTAATCCTTCTTTTACCTTTGTTTTGCAATGTTTATGTCTTTGGGGCCCTTTGTGTCTTATTGCTTATTTTGCCTGAATCAGTATTTACAGAGAGCAAAAGAGGGAAAAAAAATACTCTGCTTAAAATTACTGACAGTTTGCAAACCAAGTGGTAAAAAGTAGACACACGCAAGCAACAGGCCAAGCACGTACCTCATATACTTGTCCCTGCAAGTCTCCAGGAACTTTTCTAGCTGGGTTGGAGTAATCCTATCCAACTGATACAAAACTCGTGGCTGAAAAGAGACAACAGCTGATGATGCAAAAGCTTATGAAGATCTACAATAACTGCATAATTAGCCCCATGAGACTTAGTTACCTCAGTTGTGCCATTATCATTAATGCCGTATTTATCCCTGGTTTTCTTTATCTTTTCGGAAACGCCTTTGATGAATTTTTTAACTTCCTGAAATTAATAAAATAGGGGTCAGCAAAGACTTTTTTTTAAATAGAAAATTTCAACAGTAAGTTACTTGCTTACAGCAAGAGTTATCAAATCATAGACACACAAACTATAATTTAGTAAATCATACTGCGTCCCGTGTAGCCACAGATTAGTATCACTGCTTGAAAATAAGTAGCCTGAAAGTATTCTTCCTGAGCACACACTGAACACATGAAGATTTGACTTGAGTACATCATTTTTTTTCCAGTCACCACTCACTGACACTCTTCTGACCATTCCACCTCAAAATTTGTAGGGAGAATTAAAAAGAACCTCAAAAATACTTATTCTCTGGGCATATCAACCCAAACACTTTCTCACTCACTTCTCAGCATTCAAAATAAGTCAAAGTGGAAAGACTGTGTCACTAGAGAAGCATATAAAGGAAACAGTGCATTTAACATGGGCTAATACATAAACTGGCCCTCCTTCATCAGGTTTAACCCCAAAGGAATTTTTAAAAGCCCTTACTGAAATGCAGATTGACATAATAGTTTCATAAAAATATTCAACATCTCTATGAAGCATCATTCAGGCATTATGCCTAGCTTAGGAGACAGATATGTACTCTAGAGATCATGAAATATGAGGCTTATTAGTGATTTTCCTCTGAAACTGGATTCAGTGCAAGTCATTACCAAAGCACGGGCTATCCAAAACAAAACAAAGAAAAAAACAAAAGCAAATAACTCCTGTCTCCTTCAGCAATGATTTAAGAACATCTCTGTGGAGGAGTGAATGCTTTGATTCTTAGAGTGCATTTAAACCCCTTCCACCCCATTAAGCCTGCCTGACCACCAGAAAAGTTGCTATAAAGGAACACTTCACTCGGCGCGAGGCTCCTTCCAACCGCTGCACAGATGGGCACTGAAAGTTACCTGCAGCACTGAATAAACCTCTGAGCGACTGTATTTTTAAAATTTCATTCATAAATTGTTATCTAAATACAGTTCTATTACCTCCTGAGAGAAGCCTCACATTCTCCAAATAGTGATACTCTTTCTGCTGCTCAAGGTGTTTTCGGACAGCTCATTATTTTCCATGAACACCAGAACAAAATGCTAGTGAAAGAACTGACGGGAGAAGTGTGCTAGTGGCATGAGGCCTCAAGCTGTTTCCCTCTCGCATGACAACAAACTGCATTTATACATTTCTGCCTCTTTTGCCCTGCAGTAACTCAGTCATTTACAGACGAGCTATTCGGTCACTGGGAAGGTGTTTTCACTCTTAGATATTTGATATAATGCATCATTTAGTTTCCAAGATAAATATCGATTATTAATGTCATATGAAAAATTAGTCTTTCTACTACTTGTGCAGTAAACAAAAAGGAATATTGCATGGCTTGCAGAAGATCATTCAGAGCATCCAGTCAAGGGGGAATAAAAAAAAAAACAAAACAAAGCCCTAGAATTACTTAAAGGCAATTGCTTCTGGAAAGATCCTTCTTTTATAGGAAAAGGGGCAGAACTGAGATGTGACAACTTGAACTCTCTCGCAAAGAAGATATGTTATTTTATATTTTTGCCTACTCAGATATAATCGGGGACAGCAATAATAACGAAAAATAAAAATAACAGTAACAACCACAATAAACCACGAATCAAAAGAAGTTATCACACTGCCTGCGATATTCGTAATATGTAGAAAGGCTGCAATAGGAATGGCTTAGGAAGCAGAGCAGCAAATACAATGTTAGGATCACCAATTTATTTTTCTCTTTGGCAGTCCCCGAGCACATCCAAACTATGGATGCATTTATGTTACAAACTGTAGCTGGTCTGTGCTGAGCCTCTCTGTGGAGTTTTCCTCTGGAGTGCAACACTCTCCTCCCTGAGCACAGAGCTAGCTCAGAAAACAGCTTCTATGATGCAGCCCTGACCCACTAGGCCCTTTGGCCTGAGCCTGGTGAACGGGGCAACCAACAGACTTGGTAAGTTCAGGCTCTACGTGGACCTTGTCAGCTCCTACACAGCTGACATGAAGCCCAAGGAGCAGCCAGGGTGGAGAGCCCAGTTGTGCAGGTGTTCCTCCTGTGTTTCCCAGCACAGAAGCCTGGAGCTTGACCATGTGGAGCACTAAGAATCTGGCTGCAGCATCCCTGGCCTAAAACACTAAGCTGAAACTGCCAAAAGCCACATCAGACAGCAAGGGGCTTATTGCAGCAGTTGACTTCCCCTGAGGGAGGACAGAGTACAGGCAGAACCAAGGCCAGTGTACTTGAAAAAGGCTGTTTAGCCATTCTGGATAGACTTATTCTGCACTACAGCAATAAACCCACCAGCTTAACCTGCTGGTAAGTAACAGCAGTAAGCAAGATCTGTTCTGGAAGGGAAAAGTGGAAGAAGGGATAGGAAAACATCAGGAAAAATACATACCAATACCCCTGGAGGTCAAGAAGACAAGTTTTAGAAAGGAAGAAGAGGGATGTATCTCTTAAGTAAGTTAAATAGATCTCTTAAGTTTAAATAGATATCAAAACAATCCCGAAATTAATTGCAGGGATTAATTCGTGTGTCATGGTGTTCACCATTAAAAATGAATTTGGCCAAATTGCTGTCATGTTGTGAACACCTAGATTAGAATTCACCAAGCAGGCACATATATATTCTAATCACTTACTGGAGCACTATACAAGCATCTTTAGCTAAGAAGCACTAACAGTTATGCCCACACAGTGCACACACATGCTACAATTACCTCATTATATTTTTCATAACCTGTCTCAGTTAATGTCTTCCAGGATGAAAAGAAAAAAGAAAAAAATGAAACAAAAGCTGAAATTTAAAAATCAGAAATACAAATTATTACTGATAAGATGATGCAGCTATATAGCTATATCTATGCCTCTGAAGTGAACAGCATTTATTCAGAGTTTACTGATACAACATTTTCAATTCAGCTCTAGCAACTGAATTGTTCATCTGGTTCACATGCACCCTATTACTGACTTTGTCACCTTCTGCTCTGAAGCACTCATCTCCTAAGCAAACCAACTCGCCAAAAGCAGGTTACTGAATTCATGACTTTGTCTCCACCATCAGAAATCAAAAATGACATCAAGGTCCACAGACAGGTTAATTCTACTGTTTTTAACTGCTCTATCCTAAAGAAGCCATAGCCCAGGCTGCTAACCAAATACTCAACTTAATGCTCCCCTGAACATGAGACTTTCACAGTTCAAACTGCAAGGCGGCAAAACACAGTCACGTGAACATTCAATCATTCATTCTTAAAAGATGTAAGTACTCCCCAGAAGATAAACCCTGCTAGTGGTAACACAAGTGCTTTGCTGGGTTAGTATCAAGAAAAGCAAGCTAACTATATGCAGATGTATATGGCATTTTTACTGAAACAAGCAAAGTAAATGACTAAAGCCAGGTACTTGGAAGACAGCATCAAAACATACATAACAAGGGAGGGTGCGACTCTGTCCTAGCCGTTCCTCACATGCAGTCCATGAGGATTACTTTTCTTTCCAGAATATGATTATAATTACTGTAATATTTTGCAATAGATAGAAGTTCCAGCAAAGTATCTCAGATCTGACCAAAGGCACACCTTCTACTCAAAAATCCCTAGAAGTTTCTCCCATTTCTGAAGTTGCTTTTGTGGACACAAACAACTTGCAAGAGAATAATAATTCATATTATCATATTAACCTGATAGTCCCACATATACACAGAAAAATATCCAGAAATGTCTTACTGGACAACCCAGCACTGCTGCTACTAACGTAGCAAATTCAGCCATTGCTCCTACAGATTGATATTAAAACAAAGAAAACACACAAGCAAAATCAAAACAAAACACACACACATTTATTTCTTTTTCCTAGATTTATAAGGTTAAGGGAAGGTTAATACTAGTGTGAAAAGGAAATGAGAAAATGATATTACCTGCAGAAAACTGTCTCTGCAGCAAAGAAATTCATTCTTCTTCATTATGGACTCAGATGTTAATACCAATTCATTTTTACTAAGGGCTGGTTCATTACGGCATGGATACACGGCCTTAGAGAGAGAAAAACTTACTCCATGTAAAAAATATGCAAAAAAAAAAAAAGGCTACACAGAAGGGGCTACTTCTAACTAAGACTTCAGTGATCCTTACTCTGATGTTGTCTAGAACTCGCTTGAACTCCAGTGGTTCATCCTTCCCCTCCATTGCTGCAGGATCCAGACCATCTCCTCCATAAATAAACTGAATAATGTCACCAGTAGAGCTTCTGACTGTTAAATCATATTGAGAACAGAGATCTTCAAGTGACTTGACCAGCCGCCTCTGATGGAAGAGAGAAAAAGAGAGTAAGGGGAGAGAGGAACTTAGAGGTTCTTTTTCAAAATAGCTATTGATTAAGATTGCCTATACCTATAGTAACTTGACTTAAATTTGGAAATAAATTCCATGTCATCAGTAGCAGGCACAAAAACCCATTTAATTCATAAATTATTTATAGAACATAATTTATAGGACTTTATGTACACGGCAAACACTCAC